GTTTCACAATTTGAGTTGAATTACTGAAATAAATGAACTTTTCCACGACATTCTAATTTATTGAGATGCACCTGTATTCTAACATTTTTCATCTTCCTAAGATGAAGCAATTTTATCACTGGGAAGAGAGAGAAATAGGCATCAGGAACTTTAACACACTGTAAAATGTTCAGTGTGACAGAAATCGATACAGAAATCTTGTTTAACTTCTCTGCTGGAATATGTCCCACCCACACTCGGCGCGATCAACATACAGCACGGCTCCTCGGCAACCGGAGCTGATGTTGTCTGTCAGCAGATGATCAAAAAGAATTCTGCTGGATGTGTGCAGTGTGTGCAGTGTGAGGAAAAGAGCCCGAGGCCGTTCACAAGAAGAGAGACCGCTCAAAATAAACAGAGGGTGAGATGGGCACCTGTGTTAGGCTGCTAACATGGTCTCGCTGGCAACGGGGCAGAAAATATGACCCTTCAAGGCATGTTTGACTATTCCTTTGATTCATGCTAAACTCACAAACATGCATATGTTCAACACCAAACCCAGCGGTGTAAATATAAACACTTAATCACACTAAATAAATATCAGCTTTTATTGGTTCGTTGTGCTTGTAGCAAAACGTTTTCCCTTTAATCTGCTGCATGTGAATTAAAAAATCTGACAGCAGTGGGATTTCACATACAGTATAAAAATTGATTTATTGAAAGATTATTGGAGCATGTTTTACAAGAAAATACAATTTCCGTCTTTATACTTGAAAATAAAATGTTTATTTTGACGTGTTACATGCCATTTGTTTGGAATTAATTGCGATTACTAGGAATTTAGGAGTGAAAACTGTTTTTTACATGAAGTTTTTCAGTGTAGTCTGTAGTTCAGGGTGTTCATGACAGAATGCTGTAGCATCATGAAAATTTACATATATCGTGCAAAAGTAATTTGGATTTTTATGGTACTTTTACAGTGACTAGGATCATTTTCAAAATGTGTCTGTTTACATTAAACCAAAAAAAGTAATCAAGTTTGTAAGAAATCTGGTTTCTGCTTCAAAATAAAAGTAGTAAAAATTAGTAAAAATAAAAAAGTAATTGTAACTTTTTTTAAAGTAATTGTGACTTTAGATCTCCCAATTGTGAACGTATTTCTTGCAATTCAACTTATATTTTGCTGTTTTGTCTTTATTTCATATATTTGCAACTTCATATCTCTCACAGTGTGACTTTTTTCATTTTAAAATGTGTTTTTCATTTTTACTTTGAGGCAGAAACAGACTTCCATAAGTTTGGAATGACATGGGTGAACTATGCCTTTAAGAAAAAAAATCACTAGTTTATATTGTTTACTGTATATTGTCTTGCATATTGTCTAGTCAAATTACTACTTATTTTCTAGTTATTTTCATACAGTGGTTTTTGTATTAGACAACTGATTGCTTTTTCAGTGTAGTAAATAAGTCATTTATACTTAATTTTTTTTTTTTGCATCATTTCTCCCATCTTCTATTATGCTTTGATAACTTGAGCCTCGCGATGCTCATATGGGCAGTGAGAGTTTGATTTCAGCTCGCATCATGTCCCTACATCATCTTCCTGGCATCACTTTGTGTCCTCTCTCTACTGCAGCTATGAATAAAAAGGCACACAGGTAAAAATGAATATGAAAGGAGACTACAGTGCTAGAAATCAGAACTAACAATTGTATTCATGGAAGGCCTGCATCAGATGCTGTCAACATACAGATGGTGTGCAGTGTTTAACAGGGACTTTGTAAGCCGCTCTCATCTGCAGTCTCGCACAATGGCAAAGCACAACAGCTCAATAGGATCAAAGCCTGCAGTCAGAACAGCCCAAATAGAGCCACTCTGACTGTCAGAAGACTGTAAGCTCTCGCTTTCTCCCTCAGAGAGCATCAGAGAGAGCACACACTGGCTCCATATTCCCTCAGCTCTAACGCTCTCCTCCTTTCTGTCTCTCTCTCCTTTTAAACAGCTCTTAATGTCTCACTACCCTCCTCAAACCTCCCTTAGTCCCAGCTCAGCAGTTTAGCTGAGCCACTCTTTCATAGTGTGTGTGTTCATTTCTGCTGTATAACACACAGCTCTAACACAGGCAGCTAATGAGAGCAATTCTAATGCAAGAACACACACCTCAAATATGAAATAATTAATTGTAAACATATGAAGTTTTAAATACAAAAGCAATGTTAATATGTGCTTTTAATCAGTACAAAAAACAATGTAGCTGGATAGATTACTTATAAAGTCCTTACCAAATATTACATTTAAAACATAAACATAATTTTCTGCAATTAATCTACAAACCAAATCCAGATGGGATGTTTGACAAATGTACAGGCATTTGCACTCTGTGTATGCTGGAATTTAATTAACAAGCTCATAATTTTTTATTTTTTTTGTATAACCATTTAAAAAAAAAAAACATCTTAAAGGGGTCATATGATGCGATTTCAATTTTTCCTTTCTCATTGGAGTGTTACAAGCTCTTGGTGCATAAAGAAGATCTGTATAGCTGCAAAGACTAAAGTCTCAAATCCAAAGAGATATCTTTTATAAAAGTTAAGAGTCATCCACACCTACCTAAAACGGCTCATTTTAACACGCCCCCACATGTCTACGTCACGATGTGGGAAGATTTGCATAACGCCGCCCAAATGTTCACGCAAAGAAAGAAGGCGTTACTTTTATTCTCGCTGTTGCTGCCGCCGCGATGTTGTGGAGACGCTTTGTGTTTCGTTGTGAAAGCGAAACTACTTTGTTTGGCCTTCCAAAAGAGGACACGACTAGAAATCAGTGGTTAAGTTGTATTTACAACACTGTTCCAGAACAGTTCAACCCAAATAT